GGATTATCTTTGAAAAAACAAACGCCAGCATGACAAACAGCATATGTCAGCACACCCCAACACACCCAGGGGATTAATAGGATCTGTACCAAAAAAAAATACCCAACAGGGATTCTATGGGAAACACTGTTCCATAGGACAGAAACAAAGCTATGAATAAAACAGTATTTATATTATATTATATATTATATTTATATCGTTCAATAATTTATTGAAAGAGCTGCATTTTCTCTGTATCTGTCAAGAATATCGTGCAGGAATAGTTAAAATGGGTTATGACAATTTAGAATCTGATTTTACATAAATGTTAACTACAGTTAACTGCATCGCCATGCCTGAACTCACACACAACTGGGCAAGCCTTCTAGATATGCTCAGAGTATAAATGTGTACTTTATCAGTGATGTGACCTTTCTTCATATCTACTTTTGTAAGCAGACACCACAGACACCATCTAAGCTTACGTGGCTACCCCAGATCTAGGGAACCAAGGCGGTTTTTTTCCATATTTCAGGAACTTTTGTTCTTCCAAGGAATGAGATTCAAACAGAGGGACATGTATTCAGACAAGATACACTTTTTTTATTTTTAAATTCACATTTGTCTTGGCATTCTTACTTCTTCACCACCAGGGGAAAAAAATACCTGAGGCTCCCTGGGTGCTCAGTTTTGAATAGAAATCATTCTCATTTCATATCAGTATCACAGCAATCCAGCAGGGATTACTATGAACACAGGGAAGTCAAAGCTGGACTCTGCCCTATTCTCATGGTTTTATCTGACCCTCATGTAGGAAAGCAAAAGCAAAGATAGGTCCTTTTCATATCCTCATTCCGAACAAACCTGAACTGACTTAAATTGCAACAGCCCAATACTCCATTGAAATAACTAACAGACTGACCTGCTACTGAAAGAAAATGAAACAAGGGATTTATCTCACCTGCTTGACGCACTGGAAATTCAACTTGATCGGATACTATAATTTGCAGCAGACTTGGAGCAAAATTGATGATCTTATAGGACTGAAATATATACAAAACACAGTTAGCAAGTCACTAGGTTTACAGAAGGCTGTGCATCTAAACAAAAACTGGGGAAATAGTGGAATATTTTCAATTAAAATCGAGTGCAGACAGATAGCATTTCAAAACCCATAGCCTTCCTGGGAACTTTTCAAACACTACATCAGCCGTGCAGCTGAAGAATTTCAAAGAGAAAACAATGCTCACTGAACTTCTGAGCAAAGCAGGCCAGATTTAAAAGATGTGACACTCTGATAGCATTATACTGCTGCCATCCACCAGGGCTCCTCCAAGCAAGGAATCGCTGACTCAGCAGGGTGCAGTTACTACTAAGCCTTGGCAACATCAGTCGGTTCCAGCAGGTCAGATCTTTCATCCCTTGGATCTGTGCGATTTATGTTCAAAGAGAGATGTTTCTTGGGGCTAGATGGCAGTAGCTTTCTGTACTTCACCTTTTATAGTGTCTCCTTCCCACCAGATTATGCCTGGCAATAGTGTGGTTGTTTCCAGAGCTGTGCTTTAAAGCACGAGTATTCAAGTGCACTACACCCTCCCGTAAAATCTGCCTTACTTGAAGCTGTGAAATAAGAAGTAGGTTCTTTTCTTCATGTACCCAGTTACTTGATCTAACATTTCCATAGTGAGGTAAAATTACATTGCTTTCATGACACCTGAGTGTACCAGTTGCATCGCGACACTATCGTTCGATAATTTTACCAAATCACTTAACTTTCTGGCCCTCATTTTACCCATTATAATGACAGTGTAATTCCAACCTACTCTGCGCTCATTGACTCATTTGATGTTTAGAGAGTAATCTGAGATCTAAGATAAAAGCAGGAGTGGCAAATCAAAAGCATACTCTCCTGCAATTCCCTTCTCTATAAACTTTAATTATCCCTAAGAAATACTCCAGATTAAGTAAAGCTGTAAGAGACAGCACAGGAACTCCATTTATGTACATGCTGAACTGGTTGAAGCGTACTGTATTCCAAAGATCACCTTTTAATTGAGCATCCTGGAGTGCAAAGCTTGCCCTACAGAATCTGTGGGCAGAATGTGGACAGGATCTGTGCAACGTTGGTGGGTTCTGACAGGGCTGCAGCATCATCCTCCCAGCACTCAATACCCAACCCCCAGGGAGATAAGGAAAGCATGAGAAATCCCAGCAGCATAGAAAACAAAGAAATATGCATGAACTCTTAACAGTCCTTTCTGTTCTCAACAGTGCCAATATGCTGTTCTCAGACCCAACTACACACAGCTTTTACTACTATAAACACACCAATTAAAAACTCAACCTTTTGTGGGCTTGTTTTGTTGTGGGTGGTTTTCCCCCACAATTCCACCAGTACCACATTTAGGGAGGACATAGTGATAAACATAATTATCTCCCTTGCTCTGTCCAAACAGTTTTTACTGAGTCCACACTAAAGTCAGCACTACTCCAGGGAGCTTTATTGGTACCACTTGTGCTGGTGTACAACTGCTATCCCTGAAGTTTTGCCAGGATATCCACAAATGCAGTTACTTGGTCTGTGTGCCAGATCCTCTCAGCAAGCGCCCGGAGGGACAAAGGATGTGTTGCACAGAAGGTACACAGAAGGTACGCACGTATCCCAGAGGGGGTCCCACCCCTACTGGCACATGGCTATGCAGGGTTCCTTTACACTTCACATGCCGCCACCCCCCAGAAGATCACAGGACCCACCAAATCCTCCTATTCCACACTATTATCGTGGCCATAATTCACATTTTTACACAGCTCCCTTTACTACTCGTTCTTAGAAACACAAATGCTGTACAGATCAACAAAGACCGTGAGCTCATTTTAGAAACAAGACACCTGATTCTGTTGTACTTGTCAAGCTCAAATTCCATCCTGCTCACTTGTGCAGCAACAAACCCGGTCAGGAAAACCACATAGTGCTTGCAGTTTTCAGAACAGAGGACTTTTTAAAAAGCTGCAGGCAGCAACATTTTTCCTATACCAGCACATTCTCGTTTGTTTAGCTGTTATGCTAATTGTGATCTTGGGACTATTCCTTTGCTGCCTTGCTCCAGACATCAGCGAGTAAAGCTGTACAGATCCCACGAGGGCAACTGTCAGGTGTGCACTGTGTAAATGGAAAACAACAAGGAAGAGACCTTGCAGCTGGGTGAGTTCAGCCAGACAGTTCTTTGTATCACTGCAGCTGCACTTCAACAAAAGGAGAGCAGGAATATCGTCAGTTCCACAGAAGGAACGGAAAACTATCTGCTGGTTTTGAAGAGCCATGCCCAGGAGCCGCAGGGAGGCACCAGATGGTTGAAAAAGACCTTCAGCACAACTCCAGTTAACACAGCACGCGGCTTTGTGCAGTTTGTGAATCACTACATTGCCTTGAAACCACATGGTTGTGATTTGGTAAAACTTTCTGTGAAGGTGCTGATCCATGGGGGCCTGTGTTTATTTTGAAGGAGAAAGTGGAAGTTTTTGAAAAATAAACTTTCATGGAGTACTTATAAGGAGTAATTATCTTAAAGCTGTGTAGAACTCATCCTGACTGTTCTTGTACGAATCACAGATCAGAGCATTTATGATAAAAAAAAAGGTCATTTAATTTCCATTGGGATTAAGAGGATGGGATACAGGAATGTGCAAGGCCAGCAGCTAAACTGGGAGAGGCATATAGCACTGGGAAGATACAACTGGGTAAATTTACAGTGATGGAGAAGAGATGCACATTGTCCCTATGCACATTGTTCCATCTGTGTCCACTGTCTCAAGACCTTTGAACTGCAGCTGAACAGCTGCCTGGACTCTGGTCCTCCACCTTTCGCCTAACATATTCTTCCCTGCCACAGCATCACAGATCCACTCCTCAAAAGATCACACATTATACACTACTAAAATCATTTCAGGAAGTGTTATTCTTGTGTCTCACTTGCTGTCACATTTAAAGCCCACAGCAAGCAACTGCTCCAGAATCACATTTGTCAGTGACCTGCCCACTGCACTGACAGCAACCACAGTGCCTGAGTGCAGAGTGGCACTGAAAGGTGCCTCTTCCCCTGCAGAACAACAGGACACTCTAGGACAATGGATATGGGACACCTGGAAGCTTTTCCTCAGGTTCTGCAAGTGAAGCCAAGATCATCCTTCTCCACCAGTAGTAAACATCACTTTGTCTGTACCTCTGAATCCAATTATGGCACATAAAAATCGCTGAAAAAACAAGGCACTACATCTTTGTTTGCAAAGACAAACGCAGAAGAAATTTGTATCTTGAATTCATAAGCAATTAACTGTTTACAAAGATTATTTTAAGGCTTAAATACATATGATCCGAATGCTCAACTACCTGCTCTACCAAGTTTTATTTTCTGTTTGCTGTGTACTGAAAATGTGTTACTTAGAAATTCCATCAGCATTTGTCACACTTGGGAATATTTCTGCAGTTGTTAATAGTATTTTTCTCTCTTGTTTTTTTACATTGTCAGTCACAGACAGTTGTTGAATCAAACTAGAACTTCAAAAGACTCTTTCTTCTTTCCCTGCCTACATGCAAAAGTACTGTGTGGGTAGGGGAATACACACAGTGAAAATAACCACGTGTAAGAACCTACCTGAGCTGCTTTCCTCTGTTGATTCTGCTGTCAAATTTATCCACTTTCAATAAAACTCCACTTTCCACAGAACTTCAAATAATCCAAGTCCACTTCCTCATAAAATCAGTCTTTAATACAAATACCTGAAATTCCTTCCTCTAGGTATCATGAGGTGCTCATCGCCACTTTCAGAGTGGCCTTAAGATCCCTGCCTACTATGCAGCCAGCTCAAACAATGTGTAAAGATACAGAAGGAAGCCAGACTTTATTTTGGACTCCTCTGCTTTTGAGCAATCTTCTCACACTTCTTCCAGTGCTGCTACTCAGTTCCTGTCAAAGCCGCATTATGTCACTACTACCCAATATTAAAACAAACAGCTGTATTTCTGCAATTGTGTTCTTATTTCCCCCTTTGTTACAGGCCAAAGACATGTATTACAGCACACTCAGCCACTGAAGATTAATGCATAAAACCTATATGGAAATCCTATCTGAACTGGAATCAAAATGACTCTGCTATGTTCAGTAATCAGACAGTACATTCCACAGCACTTCAAGAACTGGCACATGAAAGCAGCATACAGCCACAACATAAATAAATAAATAAGGAAACGAACCCGGCAGAATTCCTTGAAATCCACAAGACACGTGAAACGGGTGGAACAATCGAAACAGATACTGAAGAAGGATGCCCAAAAGTACAGCGAGATTGATAAATAAATACAATCATAAAGTGAACACTGATTATGATGTGACAGAGCTGGAGAAAAAAAAATGGGCGGGGGGCAAAACAAAAAGAGGGAAATGGAAAGGTGTGTACACTTCAAAAACCAACTAAGGCTAAAAGGGAAATGACAGCAGTTACGTGACAGACATTACTGACCCAGCAGGAAATTACTGCTCTAGTTTAGCAAGAATCAGATTTCAAACAAATCCCACACTTACAGTTGTGTTCAGATCACAGAGAGAAGTGAAGTTTGTTGATGACTCAGAAGTAGCATCAAGCAAGGAAAAAGATCAGAAAATCCTATAAAGAACTGAATGATCATTAGAACTGCACCAACAAAAATGGAGGGGTAATAGGACAAAGTACATGGTCAGGTACTCAAGAATAATAGGAATTTCTCCTAAAAGCCTGAGGTTTCTTAGTAAAGGACGGACATAGGATAAAAGGACCGTGCATACTGAGTGATAAGAAATATGTAGATGTTGGACATGAAGATGACTGTAAATTTGGGATGTACCTAAGGAGGTATTAGTGGCATCGAGCACAAGACTTTCTGGAACACTGCAAACACAAAACAACCAGATAGCACAGGAAAGATCAATTCAAAGGAAAACCAGTGCAGGGAAAAGCTGTGCTCTCCTATTATTAGATTTCATAAATTCAGTTTTATGACACAGTAAAGGAAATACTGCCTATTGAGGCTGGGAAAACAGGCCTCCAGGGAGCAGCCCCTGACAAATATGTCAGAGAGGGTACCAAGAAACCTATTCTAGTTAAGAAGTGAGATTGGCACAAATGGATATGAATGGACCATAAACTAATTTTGCCTGAAAACCAACACTTGTTTCTAGCTGCAAGAGAAAGAAAACTCACAAGTAGCCTTACAGTAGATATAATAAGGGGGAAAAAAAAAAAGGAATTTTGATTCTATTTCTGAATGCAGTTAGATGACAATCTAGACGGCAGACAGCAAATTCATTGATTTGGCTCTATCTTTATGCAACAGGAACACACAGAAGAGAAAGAAGCATTTTCAAACATGCTGGGACTTCTTACAGGTAGAAAAGCTTTCATTCATATAAATTCCATTCCCTGTGCTATAGGCTGTAAGCAAACTATGGAGTGGGGACTGCTCTGATACTGTCCTAAAGGACTCTCAGTACTGATACAAGCAATGAGGTGCCCACAGAGAGGCACTATATTGGTGGACCAGTAGGATTCGTAGTGTCTGGGAAGTTCTTGTCACTACGTGGATGCCTGGATGCCAATGCACACTGCAGAGGGGATAACATAGCCAAGTTTCCCCTCAACACCCACCAGTGGGCCTCGGGAATAGCATCACTGTAACCACGGCACAGAATAAAGGTGACCCCTGTTTTGTTCAGAGTTATTTTACCACTTCAGGTACCTGCTGCTGGAGAATTTTCTATTTGGATGGTGGATTGGTTCCTTTGCTAGAACAAGGTAAATGCTAGAAGAGCATCTGGATTCCAGCGCTTGCAGGGACACAATGCCATGTCAACACCATCATCAGACACACGGGAGTGTGACACATCCCTTTGAAGTCTTGCTTCAAAAGCACTGAAGAGCTTCAACATGTCAAAGTCCCACGTTAAGCAACATTCTTTAGGAGCACTTTTGTTCCTCTCATCCAAGGAGTAATGTCAAACAGCAAGGCATCAGCACATTATGTCAGTCAGATCACATTGTGCTTTATTTATAACAGGAAGCCTACACAAAAATAGGTATGTCTTGAGATTCGTTCTTTGTAATAGTTAGGGAAAAAATGTGTCAACTATTTTAAAGAAAAATCTGCATCTCAACCAGTTCTCAGTAAGTCTACTTGCACTCTTGAATCTAAAAACCTGTGTCTTTCATGAGAACTGCACTTTCCATCACCTGAATTTAAAACACTTTACAGCTCTCAAGCTTAAAATGTTTTCAGAACTGTTCCTGAGCTTCACAGTAGTTATTGGTGATGTGAAAAACAACATTAGGAGCAGGATCCAGGAACCCAGAGAGCTGCCTCATTGTTCTGAACAGAACATTGCAGTAGCAGTAGTTTGTATTGTAGTTTTAACTCCTGTGCAACAGGCTGCTGACAAATATTTGTAATTTCCCTCTCAGCCCTTAACGGTAGGGATAAAAATAGGAACTGATGAACTTTTAAAGTAATTATGCCAAATAAAGAAAAAACGTCTTGCATCTTTATCTAACTATTCCCAAGAGCATTCTCAATGTCCAGCACTTAATCCACTATTTACTAAAGGACCTTACCAACTGCTAAAGCAGGGATTAGCTGTATCTAATTCAGAAGGAGTTTTAAATTGCCTAAATAGAAAACTAAGCCAGAGGAGCATATCCTGAAGCAGCCGTAATTCCTGACAGCCAATTCTCAGCGACTGTTTTGTTATCACACCAACACAACGGAAAAACCCAAGTCGTCCTATAGAACTGATCAAACATTCCACCGAAGCACGGGGGTTAAAGCTTTATTAATGCTGTGCAAGGGAGCTTTCTCTTCTCAGATGTTCAAAGGTTGTGGTCAGAGTTTTGATTCAGTGCATGGTACCACTACATTAGGGAAAGGTTTTTACATCAGGAAAAGGTTCTTTCCCCAGAGGGTGGTTGGGAACTACAACAGACTCCCCAGGGCAAGTGGTCACAGCACCGAGCCTGACAGAGCTCAAGAAGCGTTCGGATGATGCTCTCAAGCACATGGTGGGATTGTTGGGGTGTCCTGTGCAGGGACAGGAGTCGGACTCGATGAGTCCCTTCCAAGTCCATATATTCTACGATTAACTGCGATGTGCCGTGACCAACACCGCCCGTGAAATCCAACGCGCCTCCCTCCAATTTCCACTGGCCGCGCTGCCGAACGGGACAGCGGGAGCCCCCGGGGCGCCAGTGCCGCCCGTCCCTGCCACCCGCGCAGGGCCACGCCAATGTCACCCCTCCCGCACCGAGCGGCAGCGCCGCGGCCGCGACAAGGGCTAGGTTGCCGCCCTGGGGAGCGCTGCTCCGGGGGTCCCGGCACTGCGGGCACAGCCGGCGGCGCGCCCGTCCCCCATTCCCCCGTCCCTGTCCCCCATTCCCCCATCCCCGTGTCCCGTCCCCGTCCCGGGCGGGCGGTCCCGGCGCGGGGCAGGGGCGCCCCCCGCCCCTGCCGGCGGGGCCGGGCGCCCCCGTGCCGCACCCCCCTTCCTCACCTGGTTGAGCTCGTTCTCGGCGGCCACGCGCAGCTTGGGGTCTATGGTGCCCTTCAGCGCCTGGATGATCCTGTTGGGATCCATCGCGCCCTCCCTCCCGCCGGCGGGCAGCGCTGCCCCGGGGCCGGCAGAGGAGGCGGAGAAGCCGCCGCTAGCGCCGCCGCCGCCCCGCCGTGCCACGAGCGCGGCCCCGCGTCCCGCACCCCCCCCGGCCCTTCGCCACAGCCATTCACCAGTTTGCGACAGATGGGTATCGGGAAGCGGGCGCTGCTTTACGGCCGCGGCGCCGCCTTCTGGCTTCGGGAAGGGGTCGGCGAGAGGTGGCCGCCATCTTGTTGTACGGACAGGAGCGGCGCGGGACGGCGTGCGGTGGGCGGGGCCGGCGGGCCGTGGCTCCGTGGGGGGCGGCCATGTCGCTGTACGGAACGCGGGCGGCACCTCTCGCCGCGCCTCTGCGCAGGCTGTTCTTCAATTAGGACTTAAAACGCCTAATTTTCCTTCTACCCAGCTTACTCAGTTTTCTAGATAGCTCTCCAGCGTGCATGCCAGGCTGTTCTGTTCTGTGTTTGCGGCCCCGTGAGTTGTTCGCACAAGAATTAAAAGTGAGAAGCCGGGGTCTGAACGGTGGAGTCAGTCCCACGGAGGAGAGCTGACATTGTTCACGCGGTTATCCAGGTGCCTAAGGATGTGCGGCTGCACAAGAACGACTCGCAACCTACAGGAAGACAGAAATTTACTGCCAGGAGCTTCCTAAAATGTACAGTTGGGACACACGCTACTGTGCTGCTGAACATGCTTCTGTGGGATACTTGTCCTCATCATTACGTAGATTAGTAGAACCTGAAAAGGGTTTGCTTATCTTAATGTTGTCTGTATGTGAAAAGTGGGTGAAAGGTGCTCACCCCTGAAGTTGTCAAACACAAACACCACTCCTAACTTCAAACGCCACTTCTAACACTTGTAAGTCAAGCAGCTGGCCCTTCCTGATCCTCCACCTCTATCCTCCTGTTTCTCCCTTAAATCCTAGAAGATGCACGTGAACCAAAGTAAGTTTTAAGCATCGGTACAGCTCTAAGAANGCATTCACCTTTCCTTTTCTTCTTAGAAGTAGATGAGAGTATGTTCTGTAATCATAAAACAGAAACAAAAACAATGTTAGTGTAAAAAAACCTATGTTAACTATGTAATTATTATTTATGGCAATTCTTTGTTATTTTCCCATTTTAAATAAGACTAGTCCAGTGAAAACTGCCCATTTCAAAGATCTTGGATCACATATCATACCCAAAACAACTTACTTTAATGGACTTGTGGTGTTCTCTCTCTATTCCCTTTTCCCAAAATGGGATGTTGTGGACAGTTTAAGAGCAGTTCTGCTTCATTCTATTTCTGTGTATTCATCTGTAGTGAGAAAACTTAAAAGATGCAAAATTTGTTTGTTGAAGGACTTCAGTCTTGCAGAGCTGGTGACAAAAAACATCAGTACAGAAAAAAACATGCTTAAAGACTATATTAATATCTTCCTCAAGTGTTTTTAAGAATTTTATTGCACTTATTACCTGTATCTGAAATGCCGTTTTAACACTCAACACTGATTACACAAAAAGTGGAAGAGATTTTACACCCGAGATTTAGTTTATAAATCTGCTTTTTGTGCACACAGACATCAATGAGGCAATGCCAGCAAGTCTCCAAATCAAGTAACATCCAGTTCAACAATGCTTATTTCCTTTGTAGTATGCCAGCAGTGATTTAATTATGGAATTATTGTTGCAAGCATTGTAGTTTGCCTGTGGGCTGGATTTTCTGAATGCCTGATACTTCTTTCTATACAACATGACCCTCCATACATACCAATGGCTATGTTATTTTAAAAATAAGTGTAGTCATCAGTTGAGAGGGTTTTTTTATGTAACTTCAAAAACTTCAGGATGGAAGTAACTACTTATAAGCAAGAACTTGTATTGTTAGAGCGAAGATTCTGTTAATGCTTTCGGCTTCATCTACTTCAAAATTCTGGATCTCGAACTAAATTACAATGGTTTGGTTTTTTTAATCTGTTTGCTCTGCAAATAGAGAATCTGAGGTAAAATTCTGAGATTTGCTTGTCAGCCCTGTAACTCTGCTGGTGATCAAAGTTCAGTGGGACAGGGACAAGTGATATACGAAGAAATTGAAATAAAAAAATTGAAATCAAAGTTGCCCCAACATACAAGTACAGGGAAAAAAAAAAAAAAGGAAGATAGTACAAGGGAGGTAGGGAGAGACAGAAAAGCAAAGTTTGGGGTTTTTTTAAAGCTCTAAAACATTACAGGTGCACTATAGCATGGGTTTTATACAGCATTTAGAACAAACAATCTTAATTTGAAACTCAGTTGCTGAAACCAAATATTTTTAAAGCAATGCAAGTTTGACTTCAACAAAAATCAGACCAAGTGTCTGACAGAATTGCCATCAACATAACTGGAATAAGTTCAAGAACTTTGGGAGGCAGAGGAAAACTAGAAAAGCCTTACATATTGCAGGTTACTTGGAATTAGTCTTTTGACTTTTGGTGGTTTAGAACTGCATGTGGAGTCTCAGCTGAACACAATGTGTAATACTTTCTGCTGGCATAGAACAACAGCTCCCTTATCATGCCAACCAAGTTCCTCTAAGACAGCATCTGGTCCTAAGTTGCAGTTAATAGCAGACACTCATGGAAAGAAAATCATCTTTGTGTGATGTGCTACAGGCTAAAAGTGATCCACTGTTTTCAGTACAGGGTTTACTTCATTGCAGTAATCTAATGACAAAGTGATTATATTTGTGCTTAGCATAAAGCCGTCATTCCATACCAGCCACATCTCAAACCTTACTCATCTAAGGCCCAAAAGACGTATGAACTAATACTTTCCAGCCAGATTAGTGCTTCACCATATTATTTTTTCAAGCGCAACACCACCTGGAAATGTTCAGTCCACAGATACAAATTTATAAGTTTTTTCATTTTTAACAGGATTGTTTATAGTTGGGAAACAAGACATGACATTAAGTTGATCAAGGACTTGTGAACAAGCACTTGACTGGAGTTAACTCATTTTTATCTGGTTATGGTACTGTATCTCTCCAATTATAATACACAACAGAATTTTCATATCCTCCACAAGACTCTCAAATGATGTATAGATTTGATAAAGAGTTAGCAAGGATGATCTGCAGCAGATCAATCTATTCCAGTTCTCCAGATACAAGCCTTTGATCAGAGTTAAAATTCCAAAGCAGTCTCCCCTGCTGACTGTTTTGTTGGAGCAGCTTTAGATAGCAAAGCAGTAGGGGAGGAAAAGGTGTGTAAACTGAACCACTGCAACAGAGCAGTGGCATTCCCTGCACTGCAGCCTGCAGGATGGAGGTTTCCCTAGCTGCAGGCAGTCAGTCATGCCAATTCTGGGACATTATTCATAGTCTCCCATCCGTTCCATAACCTGCAAAAAAATTCACAGAAATACTGGTACCCTGGTGTTTTGAAAACTCCTAGAAACCTGTTATGGTTTAACCCCACGACCAGGCAGCTCAGCCCCACACAACCGCTCACTCATGCCCCTGCAAGGGGATGAGGGAGAGAATTGCAAAGGCAAAAGTGAGAAAACTTGAGGGTTCAGATAAGAAAAGTTTAAGGGGTAAAGCAAAAGCCATGCTCAAGCAAAGTAAAATAAGGAATTCTTTTACCACTTCCAATGGGCAGGCAGGTGATCAGCCATTTGCAGGAAAGCAGGGCTCCAACTCATGTAATGGTCACTTCAGATGTCAAACACTGCATCTTGAACGTCTCCCTTTTCTTCTTCCCCCAGCTTGTACTGCTGAGAACAACATCGTAGGGTCTGGGGCATCTTCTTGGTTAATTGGGATCAGCTGTCCCAGTTGTATTCCTTCCTAGCTCCTTGTGCACCCACAGCCCAATTGCTGGTGAGGTGGTACGAGAGGCAGAGAAGGCCTCAGCAATAACCAAAACATCGCTGTGTTATCAACAGTGCTTTGGCCACAAATCCAAAACACAGCCCCATACCAGTTACTGTGATTCAAATTAACTCTCTCCCAGCCAAAACCATTACACCTACCCATTTCAGGGTAATTCCAGTATTTCACTGACCTCAGGCCAAGGAAACATGGAAATTCACTCATTCAAAATCAAAATGTAGTGTTAATTCCTTACCCTTACAGTTTATCTTCAGCAGGATGCACTAGAGAACTAAGCTGGAGAGAATTTAGGTGGTATCCAATTTAGGTAGCAAGACAGCAGTAAGAAATTAGCAGAAATATGATGTCCCTTTGTATGTTTTAATTAGACCCAAATATCATTCTTACACAGTTAGGGCATTTTTCCTAATGCAACAGTTCAAGCAACTCCATTTAACAATTACTGAGGAAAAAAGTGCTGTCAGACAGTATTTACATGAAGTCTATGCAGTGTTACCTCAAGTATTTTCAAGTTGTGAAACTCACCTATTAAATGGTTTGCCCAGAAGCAGAATAAAGAACTAGGGCATTCGTCTGGGCATTCTGAGGTAGACTAAAACTGTGCCAATAAATGCACTGAAGTCTTTTGAAGTACTTTGAGAAGCTTCCAAGAAGCATTCATCTAGAAGCATAAAGGATGGGGTTATCAATACCTGGTGTTTATCACCATAGAAAACGATGATGTCACATTTTTACCTGTTTTTGAGATGTTTCGGAGATTAGAATAACACTTTTCTACCCTTGGGTTTCAGCCAGCTACTGGAGTGGAAAAAAGGTGCTTTGCTTGGTGTTCTGCAGTTTTTTTGTTGTTTTTTTTTTTTTTTTTTTTTTTAAACACAGCCTTAGCATTTGAGGTTCAGTAACAGCTTCTGGTCTGAAAGCTGCTTTATGACAGCTGACTAGAAAAAGTGAAAACCAAGAGCTGTAGATAAAAAGGTACTATGTGAGAAACCCATAGCATAAAATTAATCATTTTTAGTTTTTCCTAAGGGAAGAGAATTGTCCAAGTTGTATATTTTTTTTTTAAGTAAAAAATATCAGGAGAAAGACATTTTATTTTAAAGTAGCTACTGCTGTAGGGATTATTTTAATTCAGGCTGATTAGGCCTAAAAAGCTTTGTGT